GGAGAGTGGTTGCCATAGTCTCCTAGATTCTTCATAAAGATTTTAGTTTCAATTCTGACCTAGTTATTTCAAGTTTTTACTTGAAATAACTGGGTCACTAGTGGCTATGTAGATAAAACTACAGCACTTGTTGTTGGTCATGGATTTTCTTTGCTTATCTGACACCTAAATAGGGACCGGTTTCCTTTAGAGTCTTCCAGGGAGACACTCTCTTTAGCAGATCACCTGTGTCGTGCCGTATCTCATCAAACTAATTTCAACTTTTCTAATGTCTAAATCTTCCTGGGTAGGGATATTTGTGTTGCTGATGTTTTTCCATAGGGGATAATACTCTCCACTATGGAAAAGGCAATTGGTTTGGTCTGACAGTATTGCATAGTAATAGGTAATAGTAAGGTAATATTTGAAATTAGAACTATATTTGTAATGTTGCAGCAAAAAGTAGTCTGACCATGGCCAAATTAGCTGAGCCTGTTCCTATGGCCTTGCATGCATGCAATATAACCACAATTCTGCTTTTAGCATAAAGTTTATTTCTACAACAAATTTAATTTTAATTCTATGCATATATCAAGTTTTCAATAGAACTGTAACTTAAAGATACATATATCTTCAGATTGCACTTCTTACATGGGAGGGTTTTCATTGTTCAATGCTCTGTATATTGTAGATGGATTGGGTACATTGAGGAATAAATTCTGTTGATGTTTTTACATTTTATGGTTTAAATGTAAAGGAAAAATACATTGCTTAAGACAAATTAATTGATTACAATGAGAACATGAAAGAAATTTGTATTCATTAGATGATAGTGATAGAAATACATTTATGTTGATAACATCAGAAAAACTTGTAATATTCTCTTCTGTCACATATCCTAATTTCTTGCCATGCCTATTGTAACATTCCAATTTTCAACACGAGTGTTGAAACCAACAATTTGACATCATCATCAACATTCCAACTTTGAGTATGAAATGCTTAGTTTCCATAATTCCATTCTCAGCAAGATGGAAGAGAAGTGTATCATTTCTGCTGTTACAGCATTTTGCAATATTTTTAGTGCCAATGCAATGATTTCATACAAAAGGAAAGTGAAACAGGCAACAAACTGTTTCTACATATAAATGTAGCAGCTGTGCAAGAAAATATAAAGAGAAAGAAAGCCAAAATAATAGGATATGAAGAAGAGATAGTTCTTTTATATTCTATGGAAGATTTTAAATCTCATTTTCATTTGAGTCGTTCAATAGTCGAGGTAGTCTCAGTCTCGACATGTTGCACCAATAACCCATTGGAAAGTAGTGGTCAACATAGCTGTTGAGTGCTGAGTGTGTTGCATCAGTGTTGACAACAGTACCACTTCAATGTTGAAAAAAAGAACATTGAAATCGGTGCTTAATCAGCGTTGAAAATCGGAATGTCTCTTATGCTAACATGGGTTTAAAAGTAGGAGTATGTTATATGTAAATGATAGCTTTAAAATAAATTTTTGCTATTTAATTTAAACATGATCATGATCATATCATTCACTTCTACTCTGATCATTTCTTATATTCTTGTTATAATTTTGAATTACATAAAAAATAAACATAGAGAAATGATTCCCAAACTTTTTCAAGCCACTGCTCCCTTGTTTCTATAAACTTATACCTAATTCCCCAACAATATCCCAATGCTCTTTTCCCATTTTCTCTTGTATGAGAAAGGCTTGGAAATATTCTTAGAAAAGCTTTTCTACAAGCCTTACACTTTGTCTCTATGGCAGTGGTTCCCAACCTTTTTTCATTAGCGTACCCCGTGACATGTCATATCTCTAGATTGTACCCCNAGTTGGGACATTATTCCCAATCTTCATACATGTATCCAACACTGTTGCAGATTGAATTTATCCATAATAAGCAAAACTGAGACAACCTTATAAACTGTAATGTGTTTGATGTATCAAATGACTATAAACAAATTAACCAATGCATTTTCAATTTGAAGGATTACTAGTTTGAACTTTATCCTATTCATTTTTGTATAAACAACAAAAATTAGCAGCTTTTCATCATATCAATTAAGTAATTTCTTGGAAGGGCAAAGAGTTTTTTAAAACATAAATAAAAAGTTATAAACTGAAGAACAGTTAAAGTTGAACTTTAACTTACATAATTAATATAACCTGTTTAGTCATTGCTAACACATTTCATCTTCAATCAAGGAACCAATCAGTTTGTTCTTCCAAAACATTTTTGGTAGTGATAATGATCTAAAAAATTTGACTTTTACTAGTGTAAAAGTTGAATTTTTTAGATTATTTTTTAAGGTAAAATTTATGGGGTTAACTATTATATGGATACAACTTTTGAGGGGCTGAAATTCAAGCTAGAATCCAATGTACCAAATCAGTATCAGAAGCCCAACTGATTTCTAAATGAAATGTTTTCTTCTCAAAATTTCATATTTCTTGAATGATTTTACAACAGTGTCAACTTTTAGTTCCTTCCATGAATCAACGATCCATTCACAGATCAAAAGCAATGATGGAGCCCTCACGATGCCTCCCTTTGTGTATGTTTTTTTTCTTCGCAGTTGTTGTTCAGCACAGAGGACAGTCACTCATTTACTTGCAAACTGGAGTAGTTGTGGAGACAGATAAGAGTCTTATGGCACTTACAAGACAATGGTGCTGGAGAAGAAGAAGATGTGTCTGTCAAGAAGAGCAGGCGATCCGGGTTAGTGCTTCGATGGCACTGTGGATACTGGCAGACATTTCATTCACTAAACAACATAGATTTGTCATGCAACACAATTAACAAGGAACTCTCCTTTTGACCTTGAGATTCAGGGTTTTTATTGATTTTCTACCCAAATCCCTTATTTTGATTAGTCCTAATTTCCTTGTCTCACTTTTTGGTCTCTCTCCACGTAAATACAGATTGGTTCAGGTTGCAATTAAGGTCTGCTTTGGATGATCTACCTGACACCATCCTTCAACTCTGACTGGGAACTGTTGATACAACCAAGAAACTTGTACTTGTATTTTAGCCCATTGTTAAAATTCTAAAATGTCAGAATTAAGGAAATAATCTCAGATGATGTCTCCTTGACTGTCAAACTTTCTCCTTTTCCCAATTAACCCTAACTTCAATCTGTTGTATATGAGTATTGGTGTCAGAGTTTCATCTTTCCAGGTTGACATTCATCTATGATCTAACATGTGCGAGTTGCCTAGAGACTCCTTGTTTATCTCCATGTTGCATTTATTTTGATAACTACAGAATTTTTCCTCTCTTTCTTACATAACTTTCATTTGGTTTTTGTTTTAACAATTTCTGTATAGTCAATGCAATTAACATGATTTTGGACCCTGTCTGGGACCTCACAAATGGCTGCACAAGTAACACACCTTCCATCTTGATGATTTTCAAGTGCCCACTCTGCAACTTTGTGGCCACTTGCTATGTTTTCTTTTTCTATTTTCATTTTGGTATTGTCTGAAGTTTGTTTCATATCTTTCTCTAGTCTCTCACAAGTTTCTCCAACACACAAAATTCCCCTGCTGCTACATAGTTATTTGTCTTCTCGGCAACTTCAAACACTTTTAGTTTAAATGTTACCATATATTTGTTATTTTTTCTGGAGGGCATTTTTATGTAAAATGACAGAGAAATTTTAAACTGTAGTTGTAGATTTGTGTGTGTGTTTGCACCGACATGTCACGCGTCATTATGTTGATGGCACCTCTGCTGAGATGACCCCTGCCTCTGTCATTTCTGGCCATAATTTATTATTATTCATTAGATTGTTTTAGTAAAAATTTTTCTTGCTCCAATATCCAACAGCATCCAAAATACTGTATATTTTAGATCCAAAATGCATGAATATTGCAGATTGAGTTAATGAAACGCATTTTAGAAAATATCTACTGGTAGATGGTGTTCTTACAATTGTTAATGGAATTATGAAATTGGCAAAAATCCTCATGATGATAAAGCAGAGTCAGAATGGTGCTTTTCAACATTGTAAACAATATAAACTTTTATAAAGAGCACTACTTATCCTGAAAAACTAGATGCACTTGCAGTGCCTTCAATGGAAAAAATTCTGGCAAATGTTGACCTGTTGTCCATGAAATACTAGTGTAGACTTAGGGACCTATGGAAAATTCCAGGATTTTTGGCCAAAAATAGGGGATCAACTATTACTCAAGTATATATAGTACATAAATTATCTTTAATCAATATATTTTAGTTTTAAATAGAATTGTTTAAATATTAAATCATTTAAAATTACATTTCTCAACATTCAAAAAAAAAAAAATAATAATAAAAGAAACACTAAAATAAATTAAAAGTAACTTCATATTTCATCCCTACCTACACCTCAAAAACATAAAAGGTTGACTCTGACATGAGACTATTATGTTCCTTAGGAAGTCACTTAAAAGACAGAAGAAACCATGGAGTAAATTATGTTTCTGAGGTGTAGGAAGGGATGAAATATGAAGACACTTTTAATTCATTTCAGTGTTTCTTCTATTTTTTGTGAATTTCAAGTGTTCTTGTCATTATGACTTTTTACTAACGTAATATTTATCGTTTAAATCTTTCATTCCATGAGCAATTTTTAAAAAAAATTATTTTTGGAATACATATATCGTATTTAGGCGGATGTTTTTTATCCAAACAATTAGAAGACATTTGCATACTTAAAGTAGGATTTTGATTATGAATCTTTGTGCATTTCAGGCTTTAATGTGGATTGTTGTTTGGAATAGAGCATTGTAGCTACATTAAGTGGCATTATACATTGCTCTTAACTACATTAAAAATAGCTGAGAATCTATTCATTATTATTTGAAAATACCTAAACTGCCATTTAAAGGTCCGTCGTAAGTACAAGAATTGTAAATTGACTGCCTTTTAAGTCAAAGAATATCTGCTTTAAAATAATAATAATAGTAAAAAGTACAAGTTTAGAAAATTTTAATGAAATGATGTAATAACTTACTGTCCTGCATGATAAATATCACCCGCATCTAACACTGTTAAATCTGCTTGACCATCCTTGATCAACTGCATACAATCTCTTTGACTGTGACCAGTTATGCAAACTAAGTCAGGTTTCAACATTTTTGCTCTAAATGCTGTCTACATGTAAAAGAAAAAATTTATTTTAAATAAAATAAATGCTTATATAGAAATATTAGTTTTGTAAACAATAAACATATAAATTGATAACTTACTCTCATCTTATTGCATTTCTTTTATTCTGCAACTGACACTACACACAATTTAGCAGGTGAAAAAGGACATTTTTGTAGTGTTTTATATAAATCTTGCTTTATTCCTAAGAAGAGAATAATTACAGAGAATTTACTTGTAAAGTTTAAAGCTATGTGAAAATTTTGTTTAAACAACTCACCAAGATATCCAGCAAATATCTGTTTGGTGGCATCTAGAGCAACTAAATTAGTAGTTGTGTCTAGAAACAGAAGATTGGTGCTGTTTTTGTATGGATCGCGATCATCTCTGGTTCCCGATTTGAATAGTTGAAAAGATTTTTCAGACACACTGTTTGATGAAAGGCTTCTTCTATTGTAAGGGTAATAGTTAGAACCTCCTCTATATGAAGCATTGAAATGAGAAGGAGGAGGAGGAGGATAATCGGGATTCCAGTTGCTAGAATACGGATTATTTCTACCAAATAACTTAACTGCAAGCTGAAAATGTTTTTAGAAATATATTAATTAACACAACTCATTACTATTTATTAAATAACTGAAATGTCAGTGCAACCTTTAAAAATCTTTGGTATCTTTTTCTTGTTTCTGGCAGGAGAACGGAACTAACTGCAACAACATGAGCAGGTACATAACCCCAATTACACGAACGAAAGTCGTCGACAGGAGCGGATGTCTCTTTTCTATTGAATGGGCAGACTAGTTTAAATTCGGATGCAGGAGGTCCCCTGTAATTGCGCTGACTTGTCATTTCACGAACGGTGCTGTCTTTTAGAAAAGCTACCTCTCCATTATTCAACAAACAATTAAAGGCACCTTCGAAATTAGCATATTTATTGTTTCCACTGCAACGGTTACTCTTTTTACCTTCGCAGAGTTCGCACATTTTTGAGGATTGTCACCTTAAATAAAAATTAAATAAACTTAAACATAAACAAATTAATTTGTACTCACAGCAATTAAAACAGAATTTGACAACTAAGCCTCAAATCAACCCAGTATTCAATTTGGCTTTTTGAATACATTATACACATCAGACATGCCAATGTTATCTTATGGTTGGTTGTACAAAGATGTCAGACTCTGTTTTAGCTGCAAATCTCATATAATAATTAAAATTTTTGCTGACAGACACTTCACTCACCTGTTGGGTTATATTTATCGATTAAAGAATTAGGCGTGCAACTGGGACCGAAAAATTCTGCCGCAGATTTAATTATATTATTGCAATACTTTATCGGCAACACGTCCTCTTCTATTAATCTTGCTATAGGAATTATCCATCCTCCCAGCTGCCCCACCGAAGGAAAACAGACTCTTTTACCTTTTAAATCTCTCAAATAATCGAGCCGAGTAGAAATCCTTGTAACTGCAACTGCATAATATCCATCTGTTTCTTCTATAAAATTAAAAAAAATTTTTAATTGAAATATCCAATTTTAAAACAAACATATCAATTTAAACTTTTGTATTTGATTAACTTATGTTGTATATAAAATTAACACTTGTAAATGCTAATTTTAAAAAACCTAATGGACTTCAGCAATTATTATAACCATAAAAATCTACATAAAAAGTCATTATAAGAACTTAACACTGGAAAAATTGAGAATTATATAAAAATTTTTAAAATAAAGTGATATTTAATCATTAAAAATTATTATTATTATTAGTTAACAGAAAATATATCAGATACAAATAATTATGGACATTAATATTAAACATATTTTTATATTGTGTCTCCTGTCCCGGTCCTGTCCGAGAATAAGCAGTTAGAAGACATAGGACTGTTCCAGCTTCCATATTCTAGAATGATCATTGCATACAGTCATCCAACAGCATGTTGAGATATATTTGAGGGCAGAAACCTTTGTAAACTCTCTCTCTCACTCTAGAGGTTAGGCATGCGGCATAGTGACTAGTTTGATCACCTTTACCGATAGATTTATATGTTATCCGCATTTAATCATTTAATTCTTTATGTATGCTCCTGTAAATTAGATTAGTTATATAATAAACTCCTTATTTGTTTGTTTAACCTGTGAACCTGTCTATCATTGCTTGCACAGACACCTGTTGACTTTCTCAACTCCCTCGCCACTCGATAAAAAGCCATCAGTGATGCTATGAACGGATCTCGCTGATCCAACAATTAGAGGGCTCTGTCCCTTCGCCCGTATTCTCACAAAACCACCTTTTGAAAAAATGAACAAAGTTGTACAAATGATTAATTCATAAATCAAATTTAATCCAATACAATTCATTAATTTCAAAAGACAAGTATAAATCTTTTGTGAATATATGTATAAATTTCTCTTAAGAATTCAGACACGGAATCTTAAGAATTTGAAGAAATATAACTAAAGCTATCAGGCTGACAATGTTTCTTCATAAGAACAAATATTGCCAGCTGATATCTTAGTCCTCATATCTACAAAATGTTTATCAATTTTGAAAATGGTTATTGTAGAAATAATTCACTACTGTATTAATAATTTTCAAAATTAACAATTCATCCACAAGCATTTTTATAAGCTCAATTCTCAAGGACCATTTAAGGTTCTCAATGTTCTGTTCCGCTACATACTGCCAGTTTAACCAATATACCTCGCAATGATCTAATGAAAAGTTTGATTAGTGATAAAATTTGATGTTCTTCCATTGACCAAGAACAAACAGAATTGTGAGATGGCATCACATGTTCTGTATTTAATGCAAGAGCTCAATCAACTTATCTTGTACAAATGTAAAATGGAGAATATTTGAGCTACAAATGATAAACTCAACAACAAATAGAAAAAAAATGAAAAATTATGAGGTTTTATATGGAGAAAAATTGCAAATGATTTGTTTCCTGGAATAATAGATAAGAATTAAGCATATAAAATAGGCCTAATTCAAATAAGTTCACTATATCTGTTGGAGAATTCAAAAACCTATGATAGATATTGCTCGATTTAACAAATGATAAGTAGCAACTAACTTTGAATATACTGTATCTAAATTGTGGAATATGGCATGTGTAAGCAAGCATCAAATAGGACTCCATGGATTCATAATTATCAAATACACTATAAACTGTTGAACAGTAACCTCAACAAAACAGCCATGTCTAATAAAAATGGGTTATAAACCAGCCTTTATTCATTCCTCTGTATTACAAAAAATTTTAAATTAAGTGTTTTTAATTGAGAACTTGACAACGAAATAGCAGAATAATAAATGCATCATCTTTCCAAGATGTCTTTAAATGTTGAGTACGAGTCCTGGGGACCTAATCCTAATTTATAGGATGTTGAAAGTGTACCTGAAACAAACTTGTGCAGTGAAAGGTCTGATTAAATGAGTTTGTTCTAAACAACACTTACAACACATTTGTGTGTTGCTACACAGACAATTTAACACTAAGCGTCCCAGTCAAATCATCAAACTTTTACAGTAATTTTATCCAGATGTGTCAGGTCTTATTTGGCAACTAGCCTCACCAATCTACATTGGGTACAAAAACTTGGCCAAACCCACAACAGGCACAAAAGCAAATAATCTTAAGCCATGTAGAAAGAGTTTAAAATGTCACTGTGACTATAGCATGCAATTTGATTATGCTCCTATTGATATAAGTTACATGCATTTCATACTGAACACTAACCTATCTTCAGTTAACAATTATTAACTTCAAAACATTTTCAGCCTTTCTAAGGCCATCCCTAATATACAATTCTCTCCAGTGCACAAGCAAAAAGACTGATTTTAAAACACCAATTGTTCCACAAGCAGAAATATTCTTCCAAAATTTAAATTCAATTTTTTAAAGGTAAATGTTTATATGGAGTGTTCCATCCAAACTTCCTTTCCAAATTCTTTTCTGAATATCGAGAATTCAAACTTAGGGTTCGAAAAATCAGTAATATAAATGCACAAGATGACTGCAACCACCATATAAACATAGATAAGAAAATAAACTCAAAAGACAAAAAATAAATATAAGCAATCAACATGTATACTTCAAAGACAGCTTTCCAAGTCATGGAAATAATTGCAATCTTTGATGTAGTTTGTGTTTTTCTCAGAGAAATAAATTTACACCTGTTTTAAGAGCTTTAAGTCCCCTCTTTCCCTCACCAACCATATCAAAGCTGCTTCATGTAGCAGTGCCTCTATTTCCAGATCTGTTGCCCAAGTTAGCTAGATAAGTATTATGCAAGCATTTATATCAACTGCATGCACCCTTAGTTTTGTCAAGAGAGAGTGGAAAGTCACTCTAGCATATTCCATATTCATACTAAACCTCATGTCAACTACTGATATCCTGTACATGCCCAGTATCCTAAAGGAAAATATGCTAAGTATCCTAAATTTAATAAGGATACATACTGCATAGAGAATCCCAACGGGCAGTCCATCTTTAAAAATCAAATAGTTCTATATGCAAGATATGCTGATGGTATCTTGATCATTTAGAACAGGGGTTCTCAACCTTTTTTTTACCCATGGACTCCTTTTCTTCTTAATTTTTTTTGTGGACCTCCATAGATTGCACAGAAAAAAACCTTATATGTTTTTGTTACATTGTTTCAAATTGGAAAAATATTTTAATACTGAAGCTCTGAATTTCAGAAAAAGTAACTATGGTATTTATGAACTAGCACTTTTAATACCTCAAGATTGAGTTTTGCACAGAACTGAAGGTTAGGGTTAAAATAAACCGATTACCTTTATACTGGAGGGAGGCTATAAAGTTTATAGCCTCCCTCCCTAATCTTTAAGATCTGGAACAAACTGATGCAAAACGTTCAGAAATGTCACTGTCAAGTGACATGATGCTGATGGTATAAGATTCTCCTAACAGACCTCAGTTTTATAATCTCTCTTTGATTTTTGTCAATGAGATATATATGTCATTTACATATTCAATATTTTAAATAATTTATATTTTAACCCTTATGCAAGAAATGAGTGATAAATAAATTGACAATATATATACTGTAGAAATTTCATTTTCAGTAAAACAATTGTTCTGAAGTAGAATTACCCTACAGGCCACTAAAATATCACCGTAAACCCCCAATTCGGTATTTTTTTTCTGTGGACCCCAGTTGAGAACTCCTGATTTAGAACAAGAGACACAACACTGATGAGTTCTTAAGCATGATCAACAATAACCCTTACTGATTACAGATATAAAATTAATAACCTAGAGGCTTTTCTAGACATAAACATAACGAAATCAATTTACCAAAAATGGGAAAAGCCAACTCCTCCATATTCCAATGATATCCTGCAACCTACTACAAAATAAAGCAGCAGCCCTCTAGATCTTAATAAGGAGTACTTTTACTCAATGTAGAAACATTCAAGACATGCAAGAAAATATCACATATTAAAGAGGTTGGTACACAAATTAATGGAAACCCTAATAATTTAATTAATCAACTCACCAGTGCCTATGCCAACAATAAGAAAATAATACAAAAAGGAGAATCTAGCACAAGTACAGCCATGTCCTATAACCCTGCCTTCAATCATCTATGTAAGGCAATAGCGAAACAGAATAAAAGTAAATTATGCTTTAAGAGGAACCAGACAATATACCAGTTGCTACACAATGAAAAGGATCCACAATGCACCTTTAGAATACCATTAGTTGTCACGGGGTTCACTATGAGTAGGGAATATGTTGGAACAAATGTCATTCAAACAGAAATTTCAATAAAAATTATTCATTGTTGACAATTTTGAATTTGAACTCTTGAAACAATATAACTGACAAATGAAACAATGAAAATTTGAATACACATTCCAGGATATCAGTTGCTTGCATTTAGTTGTGCATCTTCATAAACTTTCACTGATAATGGTCTTAAAAAGGCCAAAAATGTTGTTAATATTCATGTATATTGACTGAAGATAAATGTTAGTGCTACTTTGGCCACAATTTAACGGTACACAGCAAATTCTAAAAATCATAAAATTTTATTATTATTAATTTATATACATGTTGGTAGGATTCTCAAATATCTAGGTTGTATACTTTTCAGAAGAATGCGTCTTTTGCCGCAGCAGTTTATTTTTCTGCAGAAATTTTTTAAACTGTACAACTGTAATGCAGTAAATTTTGTGATATTATAAATTATTTATATTATTATTCATTCTGGAAAACCCTATTTATAGCAATACATATAGGGATTCTAAAGAGAAAATTTCCTGAAATNACTGTTGATAATTCCGTTTTATATGAATTCCATGTTGTACGAGTCACTTAGATTTTACAAAT